TTTCACTCAGGTTTGACTATTGATTTTTTAATAAGAATCAAACTAAAAAATAAAAGCCTTAAGAAAAACTATTTATTGAAAGAAAAATACATTTTTACTTTTGTTAGTATAAGAGCTCTTACTCTCCTTACCAAATCTTATATAGTTAGCAGGTAAAGAGTTTATAAAATTAAATTTATGTATATATATAATAATAAAAATGACGCATAACATTACCGTCATCAAATTTATTCACAGTAGATAAAATAAATATAAAATACATAAAAATACATAAAAGATAAAATAAATATAAAATACATAAAAATACATAAAAAGAAAATAATTTTTATTCAATACAAAAAGCCTAATTCTTCGGGATAGCATTTATATGTTTCCACAACACCCGCTTCCTCGATTACAACAATAACCAGATTTACAACATTTGCCAATGTTTTTACCCACAAGACATTTTTTACAAGATGATTTTGGGATATTAGGAATTACGCTAACAGGACAGCATTTTCTAAATCCACAACATTCAGTATTAGATGGACAACACCAATCATTCCCGCAACATGTAAAACTTTCAAGACAACATCCACTAGGGCATTTAACAGTGCATGATGATTGAGGCATTTGAAGTGTTGGTGTTAATGCCAACAGAAGAATAATAAATGTAAACAAAATATTTGATTTCTTTATTGATATCATTATTATTAATAAATATCATGATAGATAATTATTATATCATACGAATACTAAATTTTGTTTAATTAGTACAACGCCAATTGAGTTTTTTTAGGATCATATTTACCTTTTTTCATTTATTCATTCATGTCTCTGGGTTTTTTTATTATTCATAATGAATAATACTTAAATTATCATTATTCAGGTAAAATACCGGAAAAAAATACAAGATCTCAAAGAAATATGGAATGTTCTCACGAGAAATAAAAATTCAAAAAAATTATTAAAATTCAAAAAAATTATTTCTGTTACTATATCTAGAACCAAGATAACAACATTCGTTCGAATAAATATTTTTCTCATCACCAACTATCCAATTCGATCCATTTCCGTCGTCCTCATCGCTAAATTAGACTCATTCATATTCAGACTCTAAAATTTTAATACGATCCGATCCATCATTTGTCTTTATTCTACGATTAGAATATGATTTATGACAGTGATTTCGTCATTGGCATGATTTCTTATTTGTTAAAACAATAACTTTGTTCTAAACTTACAAATATAAACAGAAGTTCTTGATGATAGCAACGATAATTTCCAGCCTTTAATAAAATTAATGCAAAAATTATATATTTGTCAATTACAATCTGAATTGATCGTTAAAGCTTATTGGATAAACAAAAATTGAATTTTCAATCCCATTTGAATAGCTGTGGCTTATAACTTTTGATAAATTGTTGACATTACAACGCAAACACCAATGTAACTTGAAGATAATTAGATAATTTCCGATACTGGAAAAACACGGTTAGCGTCAAAGTGTCTACAAACTTTTAAGTACGAGATACAGTAATTTAATTGTTTTACGGATACTTTCTTTATTATCCGAAACATCTTTTATCTGTATATGATTTTTATGACCCTTCCAATCGGAATATTTGAAATAATTATCTTGGCCATCTTGTTGAATTGTTCCTTTTTTAAGATTAATTATCCATCCAGCAAAAGGTTTATCTTCCTCACTATGAGTTACTAAAAATTTACGATTTGGACTATACTTCATTTCGTTAATGGGATGATATCATCATTTATGTCATTTGTAGTTTGGATTTTTATTATTTTCTGATGTCACTATTTCAATTTCTTCCATTTTTTTTTTAATAAGAAAATGTAAGGAAGGGTATATAAATAAAATAAATAAGTTTTTTTTGGAGATGATCAATAAACTTTTATATTAATATTGTTCTTCGGGGACGGCATTTTGCATAATCAAGTAAAATTGCTGAAAAAATAAACACTAAAAAAATAATCTTGGATAGTTAGTGATCGCCAGAGTAGTTTATGCCGCATAATCATCGTCCTTGTTGTTATTGCATTCAAAAAAAAAACAAACAAACAATAAATTAAATTCGACGCCACTAATAACTAAATATTAATAATATGTCGTTGAGAAAGAAGGTTGAGTTGCCATTCAGATAAAAGACACTAATTGATAATTTGATCCATGGTTTGGGTTACCTCTGGTTAAATAGCGCATCCCAAAATATTAAGACCATTCGAATAACGTAGCCAGAACTCATTAAACCGAAGTCGATATTTTCACAAAAACAAATCTTCGATTTAATATGGATTTTTCAAAAAAAATTTTTGTTTACATATTATCAGATATTGATCGCGTGACATCACGGGTGACTGTTATGGCTAAACCTTAATAAATCGGCTAAATTTGTAAAACATTGGATTATCATGCATATTCGTTTTACACATCTAAACTTGATAAGTCGGACGCAGCAATCAATTGTTTAAAGTACTTTATAATATAAATAAATGACCGACTTGTCGAGTTTAGATGTGTATTAATATCAAGTATAATGGATAAATTTGTTTTCCATATAGAACGTACATAATTATTACGTATTACGCCAAAATTAAAAAGGCAAATTTGAAAAAGTATACCTCTTTGCAACGATATAATCGCCACATTTATCTAAATTTATTGTTATTTATAGTTTAATTGGTTGATGATAGTGTTGACACTAGATGTATCCTTCAAGGAAAAAGAAATATCTAAAGATGCTTTTTTTGAAAAATATTGTGCCTTCTAAACAAAATTCCCGAGAAACAATTACATTTATTATTATATCAAATACCGCAAGTATACAATTATTTTTTTGTTGATGGCAGACACGTGACGTGACTGAAATTAAATATTTTCACTTTTTAACATTAATTGAATCATAAATCTTTGAATATAGAAACTAATTGGAACCTGAAACCGTTGGAGCCTAAGACTGCAACAATTAATTTATATAAAAAAATGAAGCCAACAAGTTCTTTGAAGATTAATAATCTAGAACTACTATGATGTGTGTATGATTATATATTTTTAGCTTTTTTTGGATTTTTGCCATCCAACTGTGATTTAAATTTTCTCTAGCAAACTTTTGAGACGTGCAAAGAAATATTTCTAGTGGCATGCTCCGGAACCGACTTGAACCTTCTCACGTTGTTATATCTTAACAAAAAAAAATTTTTCGATCTTTGGAAAAGGCATTATTATATTACCTACCCGTTTTGAAACATTTGACACACATTAACATTCATTTTAAAGAATTTACGTTCACCTACATACAGCATCCCCAGTAAACACTAAGTACAGAATTGTCGATGGTGATGATTCTTCAGGTCCATTTATACCGCCATTGCTTATTTACTACCATCTAACAATAAATAAGATTAAACATAACTCGCTTTTAAAAAATCGCCAGGAATATTATCAATCAAAATTCGATCATTCAAAACATAAAGAATCCACACAACCTTTATTTAATTTATTGAAATCAAGATACAAAATTCTATATTACTTGGTCGAAACACGGCTTTACCAGTAATAGTAATTTCCGCGAATATGTATTTATGCTTTACTTTTGAAACTATCTATCATTATTGTTCATTTCAGAATTAATTTCAAGTATAAATTTATTTAAAAATTTTCTATCTTATTCTAGAAACTCCTCAAAAATTTTCTATCTTCCTTTTAAGGAAAATTTCAATAGAGAGGACTGGTTTGTTTCCGATTTTTGTCACGTGTAACTTATTGCAAATCATATATATAAAGATTATTATTTTTTCATTCATTATAAAGTTTTTGTATTAGAATTTAAAGTTCAATGAAAAAATAAAGACGGAAAATTTTTAATATCATGAAATTATATATATAAAACTTCATATTGTCCATTAATAAAATCTGTTATTATACACTTTAAATTGATTCATGATAAAAATCATATTAAAAATTTAAATTATATGATTTTTGATTTTTTTTTTTGTTGATCATTTTTCCCCATATTTTTTTAATAAATTTCTCTGGTTCATAGACGAATCATCAATTAAGCATGCTTATCAATGATTGATTTCCATATATTAGATTTCACAAAATTTCTTCATTGTATCGCCAGATTCTCTATTTTACAAAACAAATTTCATGGCAAGGTTTTTATAGGCGGGCAAGAGTACTTGAAAAAGAAAGCTTACTATAATCATTTGTCTATTAAATAATAATATGTGAACGAAACTATAACCCTTTTTTTTGTCATGCTTATTTATAGAGGCAAAATTTTAAATGTGGAGTCATGTAGTTTTTTTGTTAATCATTATATATATATATTTCTCAAAAGCTGGAGGATTTTGATACTTCACATGCATAAAAATGTATAAAAATGTATGCATTTATAGATGTGATTACATGTATAGCAATCGCGTCTATATACGCTGCATGGACAAAAGTCGTGTATGCGTCTAAATGATAATAGTGCGAGGTAGTTTTTGGTCAATCTCAATTATTTAACGTTTATGGCCGAGTTTGAGCTACACTCGTTGATTCAATTGCAAGTTTTTTATATTCAACGCTCGTCAATTAATTTATTTTACGAATTTATGTTTGCAACGGTTGCTTTAACACAATACAACGAAATATACAATAAAACAATAAAACGATTTTGGTCAATGACCGTTAGCTCTTTGTGTAGGTGGTCAATCAGTAATAATCTTTAACGCGTAATACTTTTGCTAATTAGTCTTAATACTTTACGTTTACACTTGAACTCGTTTACAAAAACATTCATATTTTACAAAAACCAAAAATTAAACAATAACCGCTCTTATAACCAAATGGACAATTAATTTCCGAAATAATTTGTTTATTATTAAATTTTATAAAAATGTTTATCACAAAACGAATTATTCGCAAAAGAAATAATTTTATATTAACCTTCTGTCTTTACCTTTATGAGCAAGGTTTGGAATCATTAATT